GTCTGAATCTAGGCCCAAAATGACATTAAACCCATTAACAAAATGGGCTTAATAGATTAATGNGCCTAAATGTTATATATTGCTTAATGGGTCAGACCCATTTATTAGCTGATTCATTTTACTTAGAAGTACTATATACAGTTCATTATCATCTCCCAAAAAGGGGAGGGGATTCATTTGTAACTAGAGCTTAACAGAAACAGCAATAAAACATATCTTCAACTTTTGCTTTGTAATTCATACTCAGAAGACTCAGTTCTCCTTTCAACCCTTGACAAATTCAACTGTGTAGGATCCGCCGTCTACAGTTTGGCGCCGTCTAAGGGGACTTGAGATCTTCTTACTGAAAGGAATCACTTCACAGACAAAGTAGAAGATGACCATCGAACGCATTGACAACACTGATGGCGACAGACACATCGCCCACACGGATGGCAACCGCGTAAGGAGCACCGATGGTAACCGCGTCGACGAAAACAGTGGCAAAAACCGTAACGATAACATGAGCGATAACCAAGTCGACAACCCTGGCAACAAGGAAGTCAACGCTAGCCTCGCTAAAGGCACTACACAGAACGCCAACCGAGGTGCAACGGACGCAGTGCCTGCACTGGAAGTACTAAACCAGATCAAGCCAGCGATGGACGCGATGCTCAAGAGGCAGGAGAACCAAGAAAAAGTGAACGCCATGGTAGAAGAGAGACTTAACACCATCGCCATAGCAAGTCGGGGCCGAGGTCAAGGTTTGTTTAGGCGACCAGGAGAGCGACTCATTCCGACTAGTCTCTTCTCAACACCAGATGGCGCGCCCAGAACTCGGACCTTCCTGCCGTCACACACCACCTCGGAGATAGACGATGAAAGCAACGCAAGACACATGACCCGACCGCTGGAGAAGGACGTGTATGCTGCCGATGGGCAACCACAAGTCGTCAACCTCGACGAGGATGCGCCAACTGAGGTCAACCTGGGAAGACATACTGATGCGGGATATACTGCAGCGCGCCAAGGCGGAACGACCCAAGGCGGCGAAGAGACCGAACAAGATAACATCAGTGATGAGGATCTCCTCTGGATCCAACAGCTTGACGACCGGCGTGACAAGGCATTGCGCGCACAGAAAGCTGAGATAGATGAGATGCGCGCGAGGATGGAATGAGCAGCCGAGGATATGAAGGCAATTCAATCTCAGATGCATAAGGCTGTGAGTAAAGCTCCTCAGCTTGACTTGGTACTAGAAGAGGCACAGAACACCCCGTTCACTACTACAATCACTAGGGCTCACGTGTCCGATCAAGGAAAGATAAGGCTACCAACATACGAAGGCAAAACTGATCCAACAGAATACATTACAGCCTTCATCATCGCAATGGGTCAAGCTAATTTTAAGGAAGACGAGAAAGACGCAGGAAGATGCCTTCTGTTCGTTGAGCACCTGAAGGGACCAGCTCTACAATGGTTCTCCCGGCTAGAGCGAAATTCCATAGATAACTTCAAACAATTAACAGAGGCGTTCATGAAACAGTACACCATATTCATGGAGCGCCAGACTGAGGACGCTGATCTATGGACTATGAACCAAGGGCAAAATGAAACGTTACGGAATTTTATTGACCGAGTCAAAGCAGTCTTGTCAAAGGTTAGAGGGCTAAGCGACTCGGCCGCCATTCAAGCTTTGAAAAAGTCCTTGTGGTACGACTCAGACTTCCGCAAGGAATTGGCATTAAACGCCCCTTCAACTATCCAAGACGTCATGCACCGCGCCACAGAATTCGCAGCAAACGAAGAAGACGTAAAAATTCTGGCAGCCAAACATGGGAAATCAAAACTAGCCAGCCAACGCGGCCTGACGCAGCCACAAAATCAACCCGGTAACAAGAATACAAATCAAACCCTTGGCTTCACGCAACATGAGGGAGGTTTTAAAGGAGCACATAATTACCAAATAGAGTCGCTTGGATACGGTCGAGGCCGAGGCCGAGGAAGGAGCAACACCTGGATGAGTGGTCAAAGCTCCTATGATGAGACGGTGCACTGCGAATTCCACAACTTCGCCGGACACTCCACTGCGAATTGTCGCGTTCTAGGTCTAAAACTCGCAGCAAAACTGGCAAAAGGGAAGCTTGGCAACAACATTAGCGTCAGAGATTTTGAGGTGGATGTCAATACTGATAATCCTGATCGGACAAACGGCGATAACACAAAGCGAGGAAGGAGAGATGATGAGCAGCCGCCACACGAACCAAGACAATGGATAAACATGATCATGGGCGGATCTCATTACTGTTCAGACACAGTCTCTTCCATCAAAACATTTCAACGACGCGCCGAAGTCAGCATCAACTTCTCAACGCCTTCCCAATTT